ATAAACCTAATGACAGGACCAGGAGAGGAAAGCTAAATACAATGAACAAAGAACACATGACATTGTCAGAATAAAACAGGAAATACTAAAACTAAACATGACAACACAACTTAACAGACCTAATGTCACGGTCTGGCTGGCAGACCGTGGGGATGTGAGAAATGAGGACCCAAAATGCAGGACTTGGCGCTGAAGGCAGTGCGTTTATTTACAGTGGTGACAATCCAAACAACAATAAACTCCCCGTGCGATCCCAACTCCCGTTCCGTGTCTTCTCCTTTATCCCGTGCTCCGTGCTCTGTCTCCGTTCCCTGTGTACTGTCCGTGTGCTGCCTCCTGGTCGCCACAATTCCTCCTGAGGAAACACGCATACAAAAGGCAGTCGTGAGTACAACACCTAACGGCAGACTTGCACTAACCTTGCACGATAAACTAAGACTGACGGGAAGTCACTCAACGATCCAGCGTCGAGGAGCTCTCAGCCACACTGTTTTGAAGCTCCTCTGACGAGGCTTGATCGGCGCCAGGTGTGTGTGGATTCCTGGGTGGGACCGGTCAGCTGGCAGGGCCACACCCACCAGGCCTAGAAGTGCCTGCCACGACCGCACCCTCACACACATGCACACACCCATAAACACCTGACAGTACACCAACACGGAAAACAAGACAGCAGACAACCATAATAACAATAACCACAATAATAATGATAATAACTACAATAGTAGTCCAGACTGCTCACGGACCCCGAATCCCTGGAACTGGGTCCGTGACAGTACCCCCCCTCAAAGGGTCGGCTCCCGACGACCCAAAAGAAACAAAACAAAGAACCACAGTACAACCAACCCAGGGGGGTGGCGGGGGGTCCAGGACGGAGGGCCCCAAAACCAGTCCGCTAAACAGCCACCTCAAAGCAACAAAAGAAAAACACAGTTCAACAGTCCAATCCCCCGGTCCAGTGGCAGCAAACACAGTTCTGGCGGCCGACCTGCAGGACGGCAAAACAAGCGGGACCCGCTGCGGGTTAGGCAGTGGCGGCAAAACAGTTCAGGTGGCCTACCTCTAACCCCTTGATGGAAACGCAGCAGCTCCGGCGGGCGGCCACGGGTCCGGCAGCCGCGGCGGAACGGTTCTGGTGGCCTGCCACGGGTCCGGTGGCGGCGGCGCTGCTCCTCCGGCGGTCTGCCACGGGTCCGGTGGCGGCGGAACGGTCCTGGTGGCCTGCCACGGGTCCGGTGGCGGCGGCGCTGCTCCACCGGCGGCCTGCCACGGGTCCGGTGGCGGCGGAACGGTTCTGGTGGCCTGCCACGGGTCCGATGGCAACGTCGCTGCTCCGGTGAGCAGCAGCGAGGCGTGGCACACGGTCTACGACACGCTGGTCGCTGACATGGACGCACTAGACGTGGATGGCGCGGAGGCCGCGCTAGACGTGGAGGTCCCTCAGGTTCGTTGACCTCCGGCTCCGGCTGAGCGGGTCCTTCCTCGGCTGGCAGCGAGAGCTCCTCCGGCTCACTGAGCTCCTCCTCGGCTGGCAGCGAGAGCTCCTCCTCGGCTGGCAGCGCGAGCTCCTCCTCGGCTGGCAGCGCGAGCTCCTCCTCGGCTGGCAGCGCGAGCTCCTCCCGCTCGCTGAGCTCCGGCTCGGGCATGCTGAGCTCCTCCCGCTCGCTGAGCTCCGGCTCGGGCATGCTGAGCTCCTCCCGCTCGCTGAGCTCCGGCTCGGGCATGCTGAGCTCCTCCCGCTCGCTGAGCTCCGGCTCGGGCATGCTGAGCTCCTCCGGCTCGCTGAGCTCCTCCGGCTCGCTGAGCTCCTCAGCTGGCGGTGCGGGCTCCTCCGGCTCGCTGAGCTCCTCAGCTGGCGGTGCGGGCTCCTCCGGCTCGCTGAGCTCCTCAGCTGGCGGTGCGGCTCCTCCGGCTCGCTGAGCTCCTCCGGCTCGCTGAGCTCCTCCGGCTGCGGCGCGGGATCCCCCCGCACGCTGAGCCGGTCACCCGGCGGTGACGATGGCGACATGGCAGCAGCAGGCGGTGGATGCGGTGGCAGAGCAGTGGATGTGGAAGGTGGAACAGATGATGACCGACTGACTAGCTGGGCAGCTAATTGAAGTGAGGGTGATATGTCCAACATGAAGGGTGGAGAGGAAAACAATGTTACCGCTGGCTCAGCAATTTCCAGGGGGCCAGAGGCAACTGAGGCCTCCAGTTCAGCCTCTGGGGAAGCCCTGGGGAGAATCTCAGCCTCCCGATTGTCTGTAGTGGCAGGCTCATGTTCTAGCACTGGGTCCGCGGCTCCTCGTGCGATCAGTCCAGAGTCAGCTGGTTCTTCCCAAACCACAGGAGTGAAGTGAGCTTCGGTTTGGCGAGGATGACGCCGGCGCCGTCTCTTTCGTGTTGGCGGGGCAAAGGGACCTGTCCCCTGTTCATCTGTGACTGGATTAGTTAAAATGACAGGGTCCGGTTTACTCACTGTGGTGACCAGCACTGTCGGTCTTTGGTCTGCTGACACAGAGGTCATTGAAGAAGTGAGAGGAGATGGAGTAGGGCGCCGTCCTCCTTGCAGTGGAGGGTCCAATAGGTGAGCAGCAAGCGGCGGTGGGAAAACCTTCCGCCTATTAAGAAAAAACCAGGCAGCGAGGGCTGCCAGGGAGGCAGCCGCATCCTCCTTGCCCGGACAGCCTAAACCAAACAGTTCAAAGCTAGAGCTAGCCCGCAACACAGTTACAATTTGAATTAGTCTTGCAATGTCCAGAAAGCTCATAGAACAGGTGGTTGAAGACAGGAAGGCATCAAAAAATACGACCTGCATGTGTCTCTGATGTGGATCTGCCGCCTGGATAATGCTCCGACAGTATTTCCAGAGCTGAGCGAGCAATCCCTCCTGTGAGACGGTCCTTAAGTCCGCTGGGCCCATAATGGCTGGATCGTTCTGTCACGGTCTGGCTGGCAGACCGTGGGGATGTGAGAAATGAGGACCCAAAATGCAGGACTTGGCGCTGAAGGCAGTGCGTTTATTTACAGTGGTGACAATCCAAACAACAATAAACTCCCCGTGCGATCCCAACTCCCGTTCCGTGTCTTCTCCTTTATCCCGTGCTCCGTGCTCTGTCTCCGTTCCCTGTGTACTGTCCGTGTGCTGCCTCCTGGTCGCCACAATTCCTCCTGAGGAAACACGCATACAAAAGGCAGTCGTGAGTACAACACCTAACGGCAGACTTGCACTAACCTTGCACGATAAACTAAGACTGACGGGAAGTCACTCAACGATCCAGCGTCGAGGAGCTCTCAGCCACACTGTTTTGAAGCTCCTCTGACGAGGCTTGATCGGCGCCAGGTGTGTGTGGATTCCTGGGTGGGACCGGTCAGCTGGCAGGGCCACCCCCACCAGGCCTAGAAGTGCCTGCCACGACCGCACCCTCACACACATGCACACACCCATAAACACCTGACAGTACACCAACACGGAAAACAAGACAGCAGACAACCATAATAACAATAACCACAATAATAATGATAATAACTACAATAGTAGTCCAGACTGCTCACGGACCCCGAATCCCTGGAACTGGGTCCGTGACACCTAATACGTGATGAATAAATACAAAACCCCAAAACATAGAAAACCCAGGAACAATAACTGCCTAAACTAAAGGCAAATAGGAAATAACACAAAAACTAATAACATATCAAAAAATACAAAGAAAACTCAGAGTGCTGGGTCGGAGACCCAGCCTGTGACAGAGCCCCCCCCTTAAGGGCGGATTCCAGACGCCCGAAAACACCCAGAAAACAAACACAAAACCACGACAACCCACCCAGGGCGGGCGGAGGGGGACCAGGAAGGAGGGCTGGAAACAAAACCCAAAAACAAAGCCCAAGACACACGGCCAGAAAAAACAAACACAAAACCACGACAACCCACCCAGGGACGGGCGGAGGGGGACCAGGAAGGAGGGCTGGAAACAAAACCAAAAACAAAGCACCAGAAGCACACAGGCCAAAAACAACAAGGGTACAAGAGTCCGAGACCCAGCTTCAGGAGGGCGACCATGAACCCGGCAGAACAGGAGCGAATGGCGAAGCGGTTCAGGCGGCCGCCCCGGAGGTCGACAGCAAAACAAAAGAAAGTTCAAAAGTTCAGGAGGCCGACCAGGAGGCCAACGGTCCAGCAGTCCAAAATCCATGAGCTCAGGGGGCCGACCCGGAGGTCGAGAGCACAGCAGGTCAGAGGTCAAAGGTTCAGGGGGCCGACCCCGACGGCAACGATGCCCAGCTGACGGCCCGGAAAGCGGCCGGCGATCCCGAGGGGCAAAACGAGGCTTGGGCGACAGCAACACAGCCGCAGAACCAGGCGAGGCCGACATAGAAACAGAGGCCGAAGCTGGACCAGGCGAGGGCGAAGCAGAAGCCGAGGCCAAGCTGGACCAGGCGGAGCGAAGCAGGAACAGAGGCCGAGGCTGGACCGAGATGGCGAAGCAGAAGCCGAGGCCGAAGCCGGACCAGGCGAAGCAGAAGCCGAGGCCGAAGCCGGACCAGGCGAAGCAGAAGCCGAGGCCGAAGCCGGACCAGGCAAAGCAGAAGCCGAAGCCGAAGCTGGACCAGGTGAAGCAGAAGCCGAAGCTGGAGCAGGCAAAGCAGAAGCCGAAGCTGGACCAGGAGCGAAGCAGAAGCGAGCAGACAAGCGGACCAGGCGAAGCAGAAGCAGAGCAGAAGCTGGACCAGCGTAGCAGAAGCAGAGGCTGGACCAGGCGTAGCAGAAGCAGAGGCGGACCAGGCGAGCAGAAGCAGAGGCTGGACCAGGCGTAGCAGAAGCAGAGGCTGGACCAGGCGTAGCAGAAGCAGAGGCTGGACCAGGCATAGCAGAAGCTTGACCAGGCGTAGCAGAGGCAGAACCAGGTGACAGTGAGGCAGCCACAGGCGGTGGCTGGACGGGCTCCTCGGGCCCCCCAGCTGACGTGGCAGGAGGCTGTGTAAGTTGCAGCAACACACAGTCTATAGTGGGTGAAATGAGTTTGTATGAGTTCTCAGACTGAGGTGTGGCAGAACCAGGCGAGGCGTCGTCCTCAGGCTGAGGCGCAGAAGCAGCAAGCGGTAGCGCAGCAGGTGGTGGTCCTGCAGGCGGCGGCACAGGAGCGCAGGTGGTGGCGCTGCAGACCACAGGTGGTGAAGCAGAAGGTGGCCAGGACGGGTTCCTTGGGCCCGCCAGCTACACGAGGTGTGAAACTGGACGGGCTCCTCAGGCCCTCAGCTGACGTGGCGTGAGGCTGGACGGGCTCCTCGGGCTCCAGCTGACGAAACATGAAGGCCTGGCTGGGTTCTCCCGAACCTCCAGCAGACGAAACATGAAGCTGGCTGGGTTCTCCCGAACCTCCAGCAGACGAACATGAAGCTGGCTGGGTTCTCCCGAACCTCCAGCAGACGAAACATGAAGCTGGCTGGGTTCTCCCGAACCTCCAGCAGACGACAGTGAAGCTGGCTGGGTTCTCCCGAACCTCCAGCAGACGAAACATGAAGCTGGCTGGGTTCTCCCGAACCTCCAGCAGACGAAACGTGAGGCCGGACGGGCTCCTCGGGCCCTCCAGCTGACACTGAAAAAGGCTGTACAAGCTGCACCTCCGTCCCCGGCTCCAAACCGGCCTGGATTGCAGTCCCACAGCAGCTTAGCTGAGCCTGATGGCTAGCATTTCCAGTGAAAACAGTCTCATCATAGCCGGGCTCATGAACCGGAAAGGCAGTGTCAGTTTCGATAATCTCCTGAGAAAAAACATGAGGAGCCAAAATATAGTCACTCACTTGCGTTCGTGGTGCGGAGCGTCGGTGGCGCGCACGCTGCTTTTTCTTGTGAGTGGAAGACGGCGGAGCAATGGGTGGAAATCCCTGGTAACTCCGAGGTCCCCCGAGAGCCAGTCGAGTACCCCGGAAAGAGGGCTCGTGCTCCGGAATGAGCCATGGCTTCCACCGGAGCTCCTCCTCCAATAGAGCGCAGAATATCGACTGACGCTCGTCGTGATCCAAATCAATGGTGTCCAGCGCTTCCTCGCGCTGGACCGTGGCAGGAGTATGGCGAGACTGTGATGAGGGCGTGGAAACTGGTGAGCTGAGAGGTGGTGACGCTGCGGCGAATCTCAGCGAACCGACACGGACACACTCAGGTTCTAGAGGCAGCAGTGGAGACGACTGATTGTGGGGTTGTTGTGACTGGTGGGTGCTGGAAGCCATTTCCTGACTCGACAGTTCCTGGGCCTGCAGCATCTCCTTTATCCTCGTAAAGGCATCAACTATGGCAGGTGAGTCCGGGAGCTGGAGAAGGCGGGGATCCCTCTCCATAATAGCTTCAGCAACGTTAATCACAGCTTGCTCTTCAAATCGGGCGCTGTAAAGATGCGGTCGAGGATCGCTTGGATCCGAGCCGTCTCCTCCAGACACTCGGTGAGAGCTGAGTCTGCTGGGTCATACTCGTCGGGTCGTACTGTCACGGCGGGGTGCGGCGATGTGTGTGGAAACAGGACCCAAAAGCAGATGACGACGAGGAGTAGTAAGGTTTTAACAGAAAGGTGAGGCTTTATTAAAATGACGGCAGGGGTAAACCAGGAAACCAAAACAAACTGGCAAAACACTAAGAAACAGAACACTAAAGGTACTAAGACCAAAAACTATAACTATGGAGAAAATAAACAGGCAAAGACGAAAACTAAGGCTAAGGTCAACATAACAAACGACCCGACAATGGCATGAAGAAAACAAAAGGCTTAAATACAGACATGAGGTGATCAGGGGAAGTGGAGACACATGGGGGAACAGCTGACAGACATAAACCTAATGACAGGACCAGGAGAGGAAAGCTAAATACAATGAACAAAGAACACATGACATTGTCAGAATAAAACAGGAAATACTAAAACTAAACATGACAACACAACTTAACAGACCTAATACGTGATGAATAAATACAAAACCCCAAAACATAGAAAACCCAGGAACAATAACTGCCTAAACTAAAGGCAAATAGGAAATAACACAAAAACTAATAACATATCAAAAAATACAAAGAAAACTCAGAGTGCTGGGTCGGAGACCCAGCCTGTGACAGTCTCTACCTCCCTGAAGTAGAGGATCTCAACAGTGTCAGAGACGGGTTTTTTGACAGGGAGGGGCAACCTGGACAACCCATCTGCATTGCAATGCGACTCCGATTTGCTATACTTGATGTCATAAGAATGTCCTGACAATATCCAATTCACCCTGACTGATCATTGGATAGTCATAAGGGTTAGTTGTGATCAGAAGAGCCTCTGAAAGGAGAAATGAAGTTAACTTGTTTTTTTGCTTAGAATGTGATTTTAATGGATTTAAAATTTAAATTTACGTGTCCTGTCAACATACCCAGAAGCTCAGGCTTGTGGCCTGTCATCAGCTGATAGAAGATATGGTAGCTCCTCTCAGCAGACAACTGGAAGGTGACACGGGACTTCTCCAGCAGATCTAAGGACAACAGATTAATTTTGACACTGTAGACATGAGACATCACAGTCAAAACTGCAAAATGGATCATACATGCATTTATTTCCTTGGCTGTCATTGGGCGTGTTTGAAACTTTTTTCAGTTCTGTTGCTTTACTTATAGCGTGCTTCACAGTATACCTTATTATACTTTAAATGTTCCGTGAAGTTGCAATATGTTCCTACTTATACTTACACAAGATAACTGCTGGGTTACAGTATATAACTTATATATATAGCGTAACCACACTGTTCATGCATCCGTGTGTTCCACCACAACAGACAATATTACTTCTTCTGAAATTAAGTGACTCATCTCTTTATGTGCTGTAAAATAATTTCTATCACAGATAATGGTAATTTACACTGTGGTTCAAACTTACATGTTTCAATATCAGCTGAAGACAGCTTGCCAGATGTGCCAAAGTGAATCCTGATGAATTTACCCTACATGGGTAGATCTTTATTAATATTGCCTTTCATGAGAGCAAGTAGTAAAAAGCTCATTTACATTAACTCATTTTAATCACTTACAAATCGAGAGGAGTTGTCATTCCTCACAGTCTTGGCATTACCGTAGGCCTCCAACAGAGGGTTGGCAGCAACAATCTGATCCTCAAGAGAGCCCTGCAAGAATATATTGTGTTTATGTGAGCTGATCTTCCAAAATTGATTTTCTTTTTCTGTCACAAAGACGTTGATGCAGAATAAAAAATCTACCTGCATTTTGCCAGCTGCTGGCTCAGCCTTCTTAGCTCCAAGAGCTGCAATTGTTGCAAAGTACTGGATGACACGTTTGGTGTTGACAGTCTTTCCCGCACCGGATTCTCCACTGGGGTTTATGTGACACATTGTTAAAATGCCTTTATATCGTTTTTATATATTTTGCATACAGTTTTTATTATACTCACGTAATCAGGACAGACTGGTTCTCACGATCTAAAAGAAAAACATATAAGCATGTCTTGAATAATCTTAGTATTCATTTATTTCCTATCACTTATAAGTAGCTATGTGGTAAGAAGCAATTTTTTTCACGCAATGATTAATGGTCATCTCTTTAAGTAGAAGTCCTAAATGCATTTAAAGGCTTTAATAGGAAATTGAGCTTACCAGTGAGCATGGCCTGATAGGCATTGTCAGAGATGGAGAAGATGTGGGGTGGAGCCTCAATCCTCTTCTTTCCTCTGTATGCTGCTACACATGTAGCATCATATACAGGAAGCCACTTGTAGGGATTGACGACAACGCAGAACAACCCAGAGTAGGTCTGTATCATAGACAATAAATATCATTTAAACATTTACAGATCAGCATGATACTTTCCTCTCACACAAAGCAATGTGAAAACTTACGTAGATCATCCATGATGCATAACGCTCTTTGAGGTTAAACAACACAGATGGCTCATTAAGGTGGGTCATCATGGCCATGTCCTCCATCTTATCAAACTTTGGAGGGTTCCTAGGGTGGATTTCATCCTCCTTTACAGTGACCGTCTGAATAGATTTTAATGATCCATCAGACAACTTCATCTTTCACAGTTCGGCATTATATATTTAACAAACAGATAAAGTACATAGATTATTCATCTACCTTTCCTCCATCTGTCTCAACAGTGGCTTTACCACCCTCCTTCTTGACGAGTTTCCCCTTGACATACATCTCATCAGTATCAGTCACAAAGAAGGCCGTCTTGGCATCAAATGGAGCAGTCTGGGCCTCAATCCTCTCCTTTTCTGGCTTGCGGAGGTAAATGGCCGCTGGGCCATACTGCGCCATCTCCGCGTCTGTGCTCATGGTGGCACTTTACTAGAGACTGAAAATATGATGGATTGACACATGATTCAAATACTGTACTTATTATACAAACCATAATTAACATCCATTCTTTTTGATTCGTGGAGTTTACCTCAGCTGATGCAAACAGAAATTCCTTGGTATCCTGTGTATGTCAAGGTGCTATAAAATAAGTAAACGTATATCAATGGACATTTTACTCTTTAGTTTAAGAATCCATTCAAAAAGCAAAATTTTCAATGCCATTAAAAAATATAATAACCCGACACTTAAAAGTGTAAAATATAAACTTAATGAGCGCATATAATACACAGTAGATAAAACATGGTAGCTGAATCCTTTACTGTACTCACCCGTCTTAGATGCCCGTCAGCTAGAGCAAATGTCCAGAGCTGCTGCTTTTATAAACAACGACTCTGCTTCCTCAGCATTTACACTCTCCTTAGTTTGGTCATGAATGTCTGACACCTTGCTTCTTGATACTGATATGGTCAAAAATAACTGAATTACCTTGATTAATTTTCCACATATGAAATCCTTCTTTTCTTATAAAACATATTTTTTAAATTAAAAAAAATAAAATGTAAAATTCTCATGTTAATATAGCTGGATTCCTTAATGAAAAAAAATATTGTCAATGTATTTTGGTTCATATATTCCTTCAAATGATTATGCCCCTAAAAATGGAAAATGTACGAAATTTTAACAGAATAGTTAGTGGTAAATCACAACAGTGCTCTGCATGGTTTGTGGGTTATTCATTCCAGTAAATCTTGAAGATAAATTGATATTAACTTGACACAGTATTTAATAAGCTTGTCTGTGCGCCCAAGTATCTTTGATATTTTGATATCCAGTTTTAAACTTGCAGTGCCACTGGTGTATAGTTACATGACATAAAAATCCAAGACATCTGGTATAAAATTCAGAGTCAGACTTTCTGTTATTGCCAGAAAGGTGTTATATATAGCCACTGGGAACATAATATTAGGTACTTTAATACTATAAAATAGCTTGGTATGATTACATTTAATATCTAGTTGGATACAAATGAACATACAGTGTTTAGGTTCCAATTTTGATGAACTAAGTGATAAATTGTTGCTGGATGGGAACATCTGGGATCACAGCCAGGATTAGCTTTCATTTCCAAAGCTTGCAGAGACTTGTCTTAATGCTTGCTATCTTTCTAGCAGGACACGAGATACTATCATGGTCAAAAATAAATCCAGCAAAGGGTGGAAGGAGTGATTTGTGGTCGGCTCAAAAGATAGATATGTTCATTTTTCAACATCATAGGGATTAGGATTAAAGACAAGAAATTAATCATTTGAGCTTATCTATTTGATTTTCAAGTTTTTTTTCATGAAGAGTAGTCAGGTGTCAAAAGCAATATGTTGTGTGTTTTCACTCTAATTCCAAGGGCCAGGTGGAATTACAACTGCAGAGCAGACACAGCATTACAACCAAAAATGGAAACATTTTACTCTGCTTTTTTTAGCCCTAGTATTACAGAAGAACACATTACACAGATTGCAGTCTAATGTTGTAGTGCTTTGCGAGGTGTAGAGTATTAAGTGTTTAATGTCATAATACTCTGAGGAACCCCCTCTCTGTGCGCCCCTAAATTTATGGATGCTCTTCAATGCATCCATCAAAATATGAATGTATGTAAATGTTACAGAATTCATTCTGTTGTTGTGATTTGGCACTATATAAATAACATTGAATTTAATTAAATTGAATTCAAAGACAATGGCAGTTGGAATAAACGCATTGAGGCAATCCTTGAGGGGAATCCTCATTTTCGCCAGTTCAGAGGATTTATGGGCTTGATGGATGATCTGCACAAAGCCCAGGAGACAATGCAAACTCGGGTAGTCCCGGGATTCAGCACTGAAGCAGCAGCAGCAGTGGACAGAGCTCTAAATGATGCAACAATGGCAAAGACATGAAAATAGGATTTCTGCATTTTCTGTATTTCCTACCCTAATAAGGCTCCACTTTGAACATTGTTTATATTTACTTTACTGTGTTCATTTGTTTGTTCATTTGTTTTACTATGACAACTGTTCCGTTAGATTTTTAATATTTATGCAAAAGAGTGATTTAGGAACTTTAGGTCTAACTCTCACCATGAAAGACCTTAGATCAGGAGTGAGTGGTAAGGGCTAGGTAAGGGCCTTGAAGTCCAGTTTGTCCTAATTGTGGTCTCATTTTGGGTTGTTCAATCCAGCACTGGATGCCTCCTTGTCCTTTTGGACATTCTCTCCACCAGTGTCCACATTCTCCACATGTATTCCAGGTAGCGTAAACTTCATAATTTAAGAGTGGCGGACAGAGGTGGGTAGTAATGAGTTACATTTACTCCGTTACATTTACTTGAGCCCTGCGACAGACTGGCGACCTGTCCAGGGTGTACCCCGCCTTTCGCCCTATGACAGCTGGGATAGGCTCCAGCGCCCCCCGCGACCCTGAAAAGGACAAGCGGAAGCGATGATGGATGGATGGACATTTACTTGAGTAAGTTTTTGAAAAAAAATTACTTTTAAAGTACCTTTTTTGCACGATACTTTTTACTTTTACTTGAGTACATTTGTGCAAGAAGAAACAGTACTTTTACTCCGCTACATTTACAAAATTCGATCGTTACTCTTTAAAAAATAATTAGTTTAACACATTAGATAATATGCTGCCAGTAGGGTGCTCGATTATGCACGGACCGGCCTTTAAGGTGTCGCGGATAAATGAGGGAGGGGCTAATAATCGGCTCAGTCATTTTTAATGATCGTTGAAAGCCCAGATCGTAATCGTGATTAAAATTCGATTAATTGAGCAGCCCTAGCTGCCAGTGGAGTTTCCGGTAACTTTTTTACCAATGAGATGTGGCCATGCAGTCACATGACCAGTTTGAAACTGTGGAGGGCAGAGCGGCCCAAGCGTTTCAAAGTAGCGGACACACGGAAAGAAGAAACATGAAAACATGGCAGAGTCGCTTAAAAGCAGTACAAAAGAACAGCTATGTCTTCAGTGTCGGTGTCTTCAGTGAGAGCCAAAACAAACCAACTTTTCAGCGTGAAACAATTAAACTTGTGTAATGAAGGGCCCCCCCACCTTCTTCAAATCCAACAAAAGTGGTATCAAACGTTTGTGCTACGTTTGTGCTGGTTTGTGCTGCAAAAATTTTCGTTTGTGCTGCTATCATTTTAAAGATATTAATAAAAATTTCTAGAGGTCATCAGAGGTCAACCAGCCCCCCCACATTAATTAAATCAAACAAAATGGGTGTCAATCAACTGTGCTATGTTTGTGCTGGTTTGTGCTGCTAAAATTGTCGTTTGTGCTGCTTCTGTTTTAAAGATATTAATGTATATGTAAAGGTCAAAAGGTCAACCAGCCCCCCCACATTACCCAAATCAAACAAAATTGATGTCAAACGTTTGTGCTACGTTTGTGCTGCAAAATTTTCGTTTGTACTGCTATCATTTTAAAGATATTAATAAAAATTTCTAGAGGATATCAGAGGTCAACCAGCTCCCCCACATTACCCAAATCCAACAAAAGTGGTGTCAAACGTTTGTGGTACGTTTATGCTGGTTTATGCTGCAAAACTTTTTGTTTGTGCTGCTATCATTTAAAGATATTAATAAAAATTTCTAGAGGTCATCAAAGGTCAACCAGCCCCCCACATTAATGGAATCAAACAAAATTGGTGTCAATCAACTGTGCTATGTTTGTGCTGGTTTGTGCTGCTAAAATTGTCGTTTGTTCTGCTTCTGTTTTAAAGATATTAATGAAAAGGTAAAGGTCAAAAGGTCAACCAGCCCCCCCACATTACCCAAATCAAAGAAAATTGATGTCAAACGTTTGTGCTACGTTTGTGCTTGTTTGTGCTGCAAACATTTTTGTTTGTGCTGCTAACATTTTAATAAAATAAGGTCTTGATGCGTGCTTAATCATCCAGGTAAGTAAATCCCAAAAGGTTGATTCTGTTCATCTGGACATTTTCAGTTGGAGAAACGTTTCGTCACTCATCCAAGTGACTTCTTCAGTCTCAGCTGACTGCAGGTTTCCCCAACCTTATAAACAGTACATTTGCATAGTGAAGGAAATTAGCACCACTTAATGAACAAAGTGCTGGGGGGTTAGTTCCATGATTGTTAGTATGCAAATTCTTATGACCATTGATCAATGATAACTAATCAAAGCCTACTGATTAATGGCCATGAGTACCATTCACAGTAAGTGGGGAATGGCTACAATCACAGCATTGTAGGATGGCGAAAGATGTACCCTTGGGCCCCCCTTCTCGATTCAGAGATGGTCAGCATCCTGGCAGCCCGATGGACAAAGCTGTCTCTCAGTCTGTGTGTTCTGGCCCGGAGGCTCTTCAGTATCCTTCCTGATGGCAGCAAACTGAAGACGCTGTTGAAGGGATGAGTGGAGTCACCTGTAATGGAGAGGACCTTCCAGATGAGGCAGGTGCAGCTGCTCTCACTACCCGTTGTCATTTTTTCCTGCAGGACCCAGTGCAGGAGTCATACCACACAGTGATGCAGCTGGTGAGGATACTCTCAACTGTGCCTCTGTAGAAGGTGCTCATAATGGGGGTTGAATCTCTTGTGCTTCTCAGTTTGCAGAGGAAGTAGAGTCGCTGTTGGTCTTCTCCACATTTAGGGACAGGTTGTTGTTGCTGTACCACTCAGCCAGATGGTTAACTTCACCCCTGTAGTAGATCTCGTCGTGAAGAGAAGGGGGCTCAACACACATCCTTGGGGAGCCCCCGTATTCAGTGTTCTTGGGCTGGAGGTGTTGCTGTCGACCCGTACTATCTGCTGTCTTCCTGTCAAGAAATCTAGCAGCCAGTTATACAGCAAGGTGCTGATCCCCAGCAGATCTAGTTTGTCAATGAGTTGCTGGGGAATGATGATGCTGAAGGCTGAACTGAAGTCTATGACATATGAGTCTCTAGTGTTCAGATGTGTGAGGGCTGAGTGAGGGGCAGTTGAAATTCCATCATCGGTTGAGCGTTTTGACCGGTATGCGAACTCAAATGGATCCAGGTTGGGGGAAAGC